GCGTAAACCCTTTTTTTATGGCATTGTGTTTTGCAGTGGTCTTATAGGGGATGTATAAGGCTCAGGGTCGCATTAGGGCCAGGCGAGACTCGTCGCGAAGGAATGTTTTGCAAGGCCACGCTCTTCCGGAAATCACCCAGCAACAAGCCAGGAGTTTAGCGACGGAAAGTACCTAGATCCCATAGATTGTTAAACTGGTTGGGGCATGCCTCAAAGTCCTAACACCTGAACACGAGGGCACTGGCAGCAGATAGGTAAACTTTCACCACAGATTTCGTTAGCTTGACCCTTCCATCCCACAACTTCCAAGACGAAAACTCGTAAAGTCCCGACGGGAATCCTAGACCCAAAGCCTCAAGCCCCCGGACCCCACATTCCTGGCTCCTTGTTCAGGACATTTAATGTAAGTTACCATGATAGGGAAACCATATTCATTAACTGTACTATAGATCCACATTAGGATATCTTCAAATAATTCCCTTAACAAGGACCCACGCTCGAAGCTCAACTCCAAAGCCTGGAAGCCCGAGCTCTCCCAGCTCTCAGGCTCCCGCTTCCGAGGAATCCAGGGATGCCCGAAAGGCCCCGGAGGAGGCCATCTCGAGTTTGGGGCGAAAGGGTTTAGGGTTTAGACGGGTTGTGGGGCTATCTTTGGCATGTGGTGGTCTTTTGGGCGTACCTTTTGATTCTGGCAGAGTTTTTTGTCGTAGTGGAGATCCCGGCTGTTGTGGGGTGTTTGGGCTGTTGGGAGGTCTGCTTCCCAGGAAGTCGTGGCCAGAAGGAACGTGCCCAGCTGGGTTTTCGGATTCGGACCGGATGTGGGCTGAAGGACCCCCTCAGTTTTTCAGTGTTTCATGGCCGAGGGAGGGTTGCTGCTTGCTCGGAGAGCACGGTGCTTCATCAGCTTTGTGAGTGCTTCCTTTTGGTTGTGTTGGTTTAGCCTCCAGAAGCTGGCTTCAACTGCAATCTCCTGGAGTTCTCGAGCCCGGCAACCAGAGTACATCATATACTCAGTATTGAATACCGGGAGACACCGGAGAACCTTGAGGCTCGAAGAAAGGCTGTGTGTAGTGCGACTTGTGAGACTAGTTCGGGTGCTTGCCTTCGGCCTCGCTTTCCACTCGCGGGCCAGTCTCGGTCCGAACTGGTCGTCCGCGGGTGAGCTGGAAGCCGTGCATGCGCGAGTGCATGTCATGTTATTCCGTCGCGGATCTACAGCTGTTCTCACATCCACTGCAACAGCAGTTTCTTCGTCTCGGACGTTCGCTATTCGTTCTGATTGTTGGTGAAATGGCTTTGCGTGAAGCTTGCCAGGTCTTGTAGACTTATAGGTAGCGGCTAAGAAGCGGATAGCGAAGAAAAGACTTCCTCGTCGGATGACACCGCCTGGAAGCTTCCACCTCAGCAGCAGTGTGACATACTAGAGTCTTCTCCCCAAGCCCTGAGCAGAGAGACGTCCAAGTGACTCTCGCGCTCTCACTGCTTTGACAACCAACAGGTTGAGCCGGCAGCGTCCGAACCTTCGTCACGAGAAGCCCAGCAGGCCGATCCGAAGGAGAGGGGTTGCACCACGGCTCTTGCTCACCCTCCTTACCATCACCGCCATCATCATCATCATCGTTGTCGCCATCGTCATCGTCATGATCATCATCTTCTCCACGAACGTCATCGTCATCCGCACTACATTGTCCTGCTTCTTCTCTAGTGTCATCAGTGTCGTCCTTACCATCGTCATCGTCATGCTCAAGTGCTTTTGGAGGTGGCAGCATCTTCATGTGAAAAAGAGTTGCAAGGTCCGCAGACAGCCGAGGGGTCATGGCAACACAAGCCACGGAAGTTCGGAAACAGCATGAGGGGGGGTGGCAACCGCCCATGTCGCGCTGGATGCTGTGGTCGTGAGTATTCGCCCTTCCAGCCATGCTGTCTGGATCAGTGAGACCAAAGACTCCCGAAACCCTTAATTCAGGAATATCCCTGAAATGAAAGAGTGACCCCCTAGTTGCAGTCAAGGTATAGTATAGTATAGCCTTAAGCAAGGGCTTTTGGAATGTTGGGAAGGAGCGGTATCTCGTGACGACGGTGCAGCCCCTGGCGATGGAGCTCGTCAGAGACGTGCTGGGTGCGATGCCGGAGGTAGGCTGAGCAAAGTGATCCCCAGTCTCAGAGACCTCAACGTTTCGTCCCCTTGGGTTGGTGGGGTAAATGTCAAAGTACCACACATCAACACGTGGTCAGGATCCGGAATCCTTCATGATGCGTTGGCTCCGCCAGCGAGCTCCGAGTCACGAGAGCGACAACATCTCCCTCCGACAGCGCAACCGAGCCCTGAAGCAGGAGCTTCGGGGGCAGGAATTGTACTGTGCTGGTAGTTCAAAGAGAGGTGTCGGTTCTTTGCTCGAGTCGTTTCGATTGTCCGTTGGAGCACCGAGAGGTTGTGTGCATGCGGAGGAAGCCATAGTGCTACGTCCAACATGATGTTTTAGACATACCCTTCAGTGTCGTATGAAGGCTTCGATGAAACTCCGAACACGAGCTCCTAGGAGCACATACCATGCCAAAAGACATATGTATCATATGACAGATAAAATGCACTAGATTACTAGAATATACTTCAATGCAATACTACAGCCCCTCAGGAGCTCTCTTGCCTGCAGGGTGAAGTGCTGACTGGCGACGCAAAGGCCGACCCCAAGTCCAGAGTGCCAGGGACGGTTTAGGTTTAGGAGTTGGTGATCTTGAGAACTCTGGGGTTGAGTGGGGTTTAGGGTTTAGGAGTTCATATGCAGCGTTCAGAGCTTTGGGTCTAGAGGGTCGGGATGTGCTGCGGACATGTTCCCTTGCATTTGAGTTCCTTCCGAGAGCTAGGTAGTCGAATCGCAGCTGTCCTTGTTTGTTTCACTTTAGCAGTCTTCGGTGTACCTTGCGATGTTCTTCAGGGCGAGGGTCTCGGGGGCTTGCCCTTGCACACGGCGGCTTTGTGGCCAAGGATTGACATCTGGATGTTGGCACATGTTTACCTGCTTGTCCAAAGCCCTACACCCTGTCTTTCCGTTGCCATCGTGCTATGTAGAGCTTCGACGAGGAGCAGCTTCTGAAACTGGACCGCCATCGGCCTGTGAAGGGACCTGTGAAGTATTCTATATTGCATCTTATGATAGTGCGTTATATCCACCATAGATTCTATGGATTCTATGGATGGTAGATTACATTATAGTATCTATGAATCTATGTAGTTGTTCTAGCCTGTACATTTATAGGTTGTGCATGATCGATGCTACATTTTATATTTTGACTCTAGTTTCAGCTCGTGAGGTTTCGGGGAGTTCGGGCTTGACTCTCTGGAGGTGTCGGCGCGGGAGCCGGAGGCCTCGCAGGCGGTGAGCTCGGAGGCGGGCTCCTCTCCGTGAGCGCCTGGAAGGCTACAGCGGCGGCGGTGCCTGAGGGTTGAAGGGGGTTTGGGGTTTAGGGAAGTTGTTTGCAACTATCTGAGCAGGGTCTGTGAAGTGCTACGTTTTAACGTTAAGGACTCAGTCAGCTTGGAACCCGATTGGAGTCGCTTCATTTCTTTGTTGTGTCGCGCAGCTGGTCTCCGAAGTGGGCACGATGCGCACGCTCCTCAGGCCAAGGAGGCTGTTTAGGACAACGAGGAAGCTCCCTTAGACTTCGCTTGTGCCGATGCTGCGCGTGGAAGATCTACTCGTATGTGCGGGACACCCAGGGTAGATCTTCAACAGCAGTTGTCGTTTGAGTCAGCTTCCTCCACCTATCGAAGCTTTGGCCAGCAGAACTTCTCAGACCCTGGGTATCCTGTTACAATGCAGTAAGACCTTTCATGACACCATGACTGCAGCAGGACCAAGAAGTGCTACTGCACCACGAGTCGTGCGAGCCGCCAGAGCCGGCTGCCGAGGTGGCGGGACATCGGCAGATCTAACGACATCGCTGGAGGCCGTGCAGGCCAGTCGTCTTCATAGTTCGAAACTCTTGCAGTGTTTGGATGGATCTTGGGGTTCAGGCTTTAGGTGCAGTTGTCACAAGGTTTGCGAGTTGGATCTTGTTACCTGCAGCTCGAGCTTGAAGATTGCATCTTGAAGTGTCAGAGGTCTCGTTCTAGTCATTACCCGTGACGCACTGCCACAGGTGCGACTTGTGGAGCAAATTGAGAAGAAGGCCAGGCTCTTTACGCCGAGGATGTGGGAGTTCGTATGTCGTGAAGAAGAGTTTGTGGATTCTTGCCACGGCTGCTGCTTTGGACTTTGGACTTTGTGATGTCGCGTCTGATCTTGGGCTCGCACAGCGCCGCAACCGTCGGTCAGCTGATCAGGTCCAGCGCTTGGGCGAGCATTTGGAAGCACGGATGCCGCACCCTTGGCATAGCAGCCGGAAAACGGAAGCTATGTCAGGTGTCGTGCATTCAATCGTGAATCCGTACAAACCCGTGATGCCGATCTCTTCCAGTTCGCTCTCAAGTAGAGCCAACTTCGTTCTCAGCGACTGGAAGTTGCTAAGGCTGGAAGTTCTGAACTCCAAAGTTGAGGAAGTGGCAGCCAGTGGCATGGATGCACGTGGCAAAAGGAGCTAGACTAGACCGGGAAAGAAGCCGGCGTCCGACTTCATTGATCTTCGAGGGCAGGCGGGGCTGCCTCTTGAGGCATTCGCACCGGCATGGGAGCCGCCAGCGCCAAGCAGGCACTGGTTGCATTGCATCCGTGCCCGGAGTCCTTTGTAGCCAGCTTGCTGAAGGACCCGGGCATGGGCTCCGAGGGTGCCACCCAGGCCGGGATGACACCGCTGCAATCGGTGATGCTATGTGTTGCTGATTCCCCATCATGCTGTCAGGAGACGGGTCCCAAGGCAGAGCACGCGCCGAAGCAGTCACTCCGTGAGAAGGCCGAAGCCACAAGATAATTCGTTCCTTCCTTTGCCTTCGATTGCCCTGCCTCCCAACGGTGCTCGTGCAAGCCAATATCAGCCCTCCTTCGTGCTTTCCCCTTGAACAGTTCGGCCTCGCGGACTCCAAGTACGACGAGAACATCGTGCTCCTGGATCGAGAAGACGGTGCAGCAGCCAAGTACGCGAAGGCGCTGGAGATCTCCGGAGGGGAGGAAAAGCTGAGGAGCTTTCGGCAACTCAGTGCCTTGGCTTAGCGAGAGATGCTACTCCGATAGCTGCAAAGCTTTTGTCATTGTCCCCGTCCCACCTCCTGTACCAGTCAGGCAAAGAGCTGCAGAGCAAGCACGGCTTGCACGAGGAGCAGAAGGATGTCATTTCCACCGGCGAGCGCGCCGCACGCAGCGTTAAGGCCACGGCGGGCTGGTGGGACTGCATCGTGACGGCAACCTAAACCGACGTGTTCGGGACACGTGCCAGGTAAATTTCCAGCCCTTCTTTCCAACGCTGGATAAGCTCTTTGAGTTTGCGCACAAGCACAAGCACCACTTCTTCGACCTTGTCGACAGGGTCGCGACAGCCACTCATGGTACCTGTGCAAAGCCTCCCCTGAAAGGCAAAGAACGCTGCTCGATTGCGACAAGGGTGCGTGTTGTTGTGGCCGGTTTCCCGCTTATCCGGATTTCCCCCACTCATTTCAAACACGTGTGCAATAAGCTGAGGCTGCGAATCAAAGGCAAGGTTTAAGTACGTGGACAGTGCCGGCAACATCGAATGGTTCTGCTGGCTTGCTCTTAGAGCATGACGTTATCTTGAAGTCCTGTGTGTAGGTAAGGAACAAGAGGCGTGAAGCGAAGCACTCCCAAACGCTTGGCATTCGCCGCTCTCTTCACGTCTGCTGGGACGGGCTGGGAGGATGCAAGTGAAACCGTAATGTTGTGATCGATGCTGAAGCGAGTTGCGACAGTGGCGACGCTATTGGCGACGGCGACGACGGCAGCAGCAGCGAGGAAGATAATGGCAGCAACAGCGACAACGACGACAGCGATGACGACAGCAGCAATCATGACGACGACGGCGAACGATGCTTCTCAGTCTTAGTGCTCTTTCTCTGCAACCAGTTGAAGGTTTCCATGAGCGCTTTTGAGCACGGCTGGGCTTTCAACCTTGCAGGCTGAGCTGGACGACATTCTCAGAGTGCAGACAGGGATCCAGAGAAAGAAGCTACACTTAGAGGGGCCGAGTCACTGCCTGCATACACACTTTGGTTTGAAGGGCCACGAAAATCACGGAAGTGCAGCGTCTCCAGGGCATGCAAGGTTTGTCTCCTGCACTGTCGCGGGGTTTGAAGCTAGTCTTGTTTGCCATCACCCAAGTATCTGAAAACCAGTTCTGGTGTTCAAAAGGTACACCGCAGAAAACTGAGGGCAGGAGAACTGGCCTCAAAAACAGGATAGCTGGTGTTAGAACGAAGATTGCCTTGGGCAGACCACTGGTCGGAAGCACACCCGGTGCTAAGTTCTTTGCACTTGGTTAGTCACGGTTAGTTCAAGTCCGGTGCAGTAGAGTGTTCGAAGAAGAGGAGGGCCTCGACCATATTTACAGTATGATAGATTTGGGTTCTTGTTGATCGAAGCCAGGCATCGACTTACTGACATCGTTCGAGACACGCTCAGCTACGAGAACTTGGAGGATATGTACGACGGACTGAAGCTGATCGATGAGGACGCACGGCTGCAGCGTGGTCGAGGGCCTGCAACGTGGCACATGTTGCGGCTAACGAGGACGACAACGTTGAAATCGTAGAGTTCAACGACCGGCCACAAGCCCAGTAGGTCTATAGACGTGTCTTCAGCCCTTGTCTCGAAAGGGATGTGGTGAAGGTATCAAACTCCATTGGATGGTGGATACCGCGACCTCCAGCTGACACTTCGAGTGCAAGGCATCCTTCCCGCCTTCGCAATTGTTCTTCATCCCAGGCTTTGGCGTGTCGAGTTCGTTCCGCCTCAGGTAAGTTGGTCTGCGAGCTGCAACTTACAACAAAGTACATGCTCTTTATTAAGGCCCCTGCGCCCAGATTGCTGTTGCCAAGTTAGCAGTGACATTGCCTGGTTCTTTCTGTGCCAGGAGTCGAGTGGGCACAGGGTCTTCGAGATCAAACGACAGCTCATTGCCGATGTAGCTGCCAACAGCGAGCTGGAGTGTCGGAAGACACTCCACTGGGCTGGAAAGGATGCTGAGGCAATTTTGTCACTGTGCGAAAAGTATTGCTAATTCTGCGGCCATCTACATGGGCGAGCGCTGTAATCCTGGCCTTCTTGTTGTTGCTGACTTTTCCTTGACTACCAGCACCACCGTTGCCGGTGCGAAGACTCCCATTTTCATGCTCGTGACGAAGGTAAAGTGATCCCAAGCAAGCCTTGGTAGATGTAGCTCGATGGTTCGATGATGAGGACGTGCCTGCAGAATTCGAGCGTGAAGTCGTCTAGACTGGACTGCATCCTGGACAGGCTGTGCTTCAGGAGAAGAAGAAGCCTTTGCTCCACAAAGCAGCTTCGCAGGGCAACTCCGGCATGGTGCATCCCGGCTTGTTGGAGTTGTCACTTGGTGTGGTCTGCTACAAGGGAGTCCTTGCCCGTTGATCAACAGCGGCGATCATTGCGCTCTTTTAGTCTTGCCTGAAGCCTCGTTGCGGCTCCACGCCTCTTGCTGAGGGAGCTCTTCCTTCAGCACGGGGCGGATGTAAACCTCATGGAGGAGACTACTCACCGCACGGCCCTGCACGAGGCCTGTTTTTGAAAAAGAAGCAGTGCAAGACTCTTGACGAAGGAGCTGTGGAAACCGTCCCTCGAAGGGATTTTGCTCTGCTCTTCAAAGGCGATGGGCAAGGGCCACGCCTGTGCTGCGTGGGCCCTGATCTCGGCGGGTGCGAAGCAAGACGTCAAGGATGCAGACGGGCAGACGCCCCTCTTGCTCGGAGACCTCGCTGCAACGATCCTTCAGGGTCTAATGACCGCAATTATCGTAAACTGCTCGTTGCACTTGCGACAGAGCATGCCATCCTGTTGAGAGATTCAGGGGCGGCTGGACTCTTGAATGCATGTTTAGGCATGCCGTCCGTTAAGTTAGAAATCCGTCGTCATGGAGCCTTGAACAGTTGGACAAGCAATGTCCCTTCGTCTTTATGTCCAGGAAAGCCACGGCGTGCGGTTGCGTTGGGTATTCCTGACACGGGGTTGTGGGAGCACATCCATTGCACAACGTCGCATAAAATTGCATGATCCCATGTCTGGAAGCCTCCATGTGTTTCACGGACGAGGACTCTTGCGCCAGCGCGTGTACCCCGAGAGCGAGGCCGTGGCGAGGCTGGCCTCGAAGCCTTCAACCCCAACAGGACACAGACCTTCAACAGCTTTAGGGACCCTCAACAGCGAGAGCGATAAATAATCTATTTGCTGCAGTCCAAGACACAGCCTTTGCGCTCTGCAACACCACTTCGTGCAGGTGCGTCTCCATGCTGTCGCAGAGGTTGGGCCTGGAGGACCTACATCGTCCAACATCTCCAGCGGTGGAGTCGTCTTCCATAGTTTCATGGCTTCTGGAGCCATGGCCACAGGAGTTGCGGCTTGCCAAGGAGGAGTTCAGCGAGGTGGTGCAACAACGGCTGAAGAACAGCTCGGAGCTCGTCAGTGCGTCTACGACTCAGTTGCTGCGTAATTTCTCCGCGTTGACTCGAGCGGGGACTTCTTGTCACAAGGGCCGTTTCGTACGACTATCTCATCTTGTCGCAGTGCTGAGGGCCTACGACGATAATGTTCAGAAGGTAGTCGAGCACTTGCGCACCTGGGCGAACCCCAACAGTGCCTCGAACGACGGCAAGCACGCTCTCCACCGAGCGTTGGCTCAGGGCCACACTGCCGTGGCAAGGCAGCTCCTGACCTACAAGGCAGACATATGGGAACAGTTTCAGAAATTGGTGCTTGTTTAGGGGCCCTGTGAAAAGGTTCTACTGTTTGTGGTTCCATAATCCAGAACAACCAGGCCGACATCTGGTTGACGGAGAACGGTAGCACTGCCTTGGACATCGCTCTGGAAGTGGCAACGGAGAATCCCGGATCTCTGGAGCTCTTGGTCGACCTGCACGAGCAGTACAAGGCCGGGGCTTGGACAGTCAGGCTTGGCAAGCTCCCTGCTCCCAGAGGTTGAAGACGCCTTCGTTCGGTTCGATAGGCTGTTGGCTCATGGCAACGGCCGCATAAATCGCTCTTTGCTCAGGACTTCAAAAACGATGCTGGTCACGGCCTCAGCTCTGTTGGTCGGCGAAGCCGGTACCTGACGGAGGATCGCCGAAGCCCTGCTTGCTTCTTTTTGATTCTGAAGCTGTGAGAGGGCCAATGACGGCTTACAGGGCGCTTTGCAGTGGTTCCTCGAGCCACGGAAACGGAAGAAAGGAGGTTGTATTTACGGGGAATCCTGCATGTGACCCTTCAAAACCCCGCATTCGTCCTTGGCCCTTTCCTGGTTTCCGGCTTTGCCGTCTGACCTGCTCCACAAATCTCCACTGTCGCTTCGGACTCGCATCCATGCCTGACGTTGGCAGCCACCCATTGCGGTCACATGGCGATGAAAGTGGAAGCCTACCGGAGGCAATCGCTTGCAACTGAAAGCGCACATGAAGTGTATGGTGGACCGTTATTGGGCCAGTGGCCATGGGCCATGACGTCCCGTTCACCACTAGGATTTTTCACAAGTTGGAGATGGCTCAGGCTTGACGTTCCTGATGTTGGCGGTGAAGCATGGTAATGCGGACCACATCAAGCAGCTCCTCGACAAAGGCATAGAGAAGGCAGGTTTTGCAAATGGCCCAAGGGCTCCGGATCCGTACCATCTCGCTGCAACCCACTTCAGCCAGGATGCCAGATGCGCCGATGGCCCGGCCCTTGCAGATATCCGGATAAGGGAGGGTCGTGCGATCTCAGCGCAGAAAGGAGTCTGCTCATGATTATGTATCTGGGAGGGGGTGTATCCCCACATTGACATGCATCATGTGGGCGTAGGCAGTCGGCTCTGGCATAAGCCAAGAGTTGATTCCGTGTTTCACACGGAAGCGGACCCCTCCGAGCCCAAGGCAGCACGGCTTTGATGCTCGCGGCCAGGGAGGGTAAGACGGCATCTCTCAAAGAGCTCCTGGATAGGAACGCCGAGAAGGCTCGGAACCTGAGGGATTGTGACGTGGAGCAGAGCGGCCTCGCAGTTCGTGGCGCAGGACTGCCAAAACAACGAGGGCCGGGGCCTTGGTGCCGAGCTGCCAAGCAGCCTGTCAAAGCCTGTTGCAGCATAAGAGAGCTCAAGAGAGGAATGCTTCCGGAAAGCGCATCGCACTGCCAGGTTATACCCCACTGATGCTCGCCATGCAGGGTGGCCATGAGGAGTGCTTCAATCTGCTCCTGGACAGGATGGCAAAGAGGGTGACCTGGCAAAGATGGTGAGAGATGGTCCAACGGCATGCTTCGAGCGCGCCAAGTGGCCGATTCTATAATCTTGTAAGCCAAATAGACTGCAGCTTTTGTGAGGGTGTGACAACCGAGAGCATCGCATTTCCTCCACGTTCCTCCACCCAGTGACGCATCTGATCATGGCTCGCCCCAGGGCCTGAAAAGCAGTGCCGGCAGGAGCCTCAACATGCCTTGACTGTGAAACTTATGCTAGCGCTGTCACCGTTCCCGATCCAGCTTTTGCTAAAGTTGAGCAAAGCCAGACAAGAGGGACTTCGTGTTTGCCGGAGGTAAGACGGTGTTGGAACTGTCCGCCGACAATGTGAAATTCCGGGCACTTCTGGGCCGCCGGAGCCTTATGGAGTGACAAGTCCTATTTGGCTTCAGCAGCCACCAACAAGTAGGCGAACATGCATTGTTGTGCCGTGCTTCCATATTATGAACAAAAGTGCATCATCCGCAGATTAGGCGAGGTTTGCCAGTAGCGGGCACTCTTCAGTCCGTGGCTTGCGTGTATAACTGCGTGGGGCTTCTGTGTCTGAGGTCCAACAGCTCTCATGGAGGCGGCAAAGGGCGGCCACAGCGCGCTCGTCAAAGAGCTCTTGGAGAAGGGAGCCGAGGAGGTGAGGGAGCCGGAGGGCTGACATCCTGAGTCCGATGAGATTGATAATCAAGGAGCTACAAGACTTGAGGAGGCAATGATTTGCAAATTCGCCACGGAATCCCATCGCACACTCGCAATGAAGTCTTTTGCGTGGGTCGCTCTTGCATGTTGGACGCTTGGTGGTTAGGATGTCATGGACGGCTTCGGCTATGGCCTCGGCAAGAGATTGACACGTCGGTACTCGGGCTCTGTTTCCCCCTCCGAGCAAGGCAACACCGCCCTGATGCATGCGGCACGGAATGGTCAAACAGACTGTTTGGCAGTCCTTTTGGTTGCCGAGGCAGACAAGGTGGGAGAGAGAGAGAGAGAGAGAGAGAGAGAGAGAAGAGAGCGAGCGCTCCGGCCCCAAGCCCCAAGCAAAGCAAAGCAATTCAAAGAGACAGAGACTATGTGCATTTGTGCATTCATTTGTGTCTTTGCTTTCGGTCTGTTGTGTTTGTGTGCCTGGATTGATGCAGCATTGCCTGGGCGAATGGTGTGTAAATGTTTGTTTCATCTCCGACCTGCTGCTGGCACTGTAGTACTGTGCACGACAATCACGCCTCGCGCTTTCCTGTTTACCTAAACACGTCCAGTTCGGGCAGGACACGAAGAACCAGAATGGCTGGGGGCCTCGATGTTTCGGAATGGAGCTGCTGCTGAAGATGTAGCGACTGGTATCCAACCGAGTTGGAACCTGGATTCGTCCCTGGCGAGGCTTCACTGCCTACATGCAGGCAGCAGCGAACGGCCATACCGAGTGCGCGAAGCGCTTGACGAGGGAGGGAGCCAACCAGGCGAGCCGACTCGAGTCCATTGTTTTGCTGCTTCCAGGCCTAGAGTCGAAAGCAGAACAGCACGGTATCCGGATGTTCTTGTCAGGAAGAAGAGAATGAGGAGGGTGCTGGGCTTGGACCTGCCTTGAGCAACTGCACTTTCGCAACTGCCAGGCGATTCGTGTTCTGCACGTAGTGGCAAGCGGAAACCGCCAAGGTGACAAGGCGCTGCTCAGAGCAGCAGCAGGCGGCGAGCTCGAGTTGCTCCAAGAGCTGCTGGCCGCGGGCGCCAAGAAGGCAAGCGCTGGGAAGCAGATGCAACATCGTTGCTGCTGACGTCAGCATACTCGCAGCCTTGAAGCTCTTCGCATACTGTCTGCTGTGGCAGGGGTATTTCGTGATTACTGCATAGCTCCTTGAAGACGCTTGCTCGTGCTGTCAGCAAGCATTTTGCTAAACGCTTTGCGTCGTCCGCCTCGGCCCGGTCGAGTACGACTGGAAAGAAACTAGTTACATGGGTTAGGAGGGTCGTGCAGGCGGCAGAAGCCAGCAAATATGCAAACGCGACATCCAGCGGAGGACATGACGGCACGTGAATGCGGTGAAGCAAAGCGTTGAGATCCCCGTGATCTTCCACCTTCCAACATCGCGTGAGCTCCACCCAGCCATCATCCTCCGGCTGCGACTTCGGAGGCAACTCCTCCTCCTCCTCCTCCTCCTCCTGGCTGGAACCTGCCGCCCTCATCCCGACATGGAGTCTGGCCTCCGCTTTAAGTTCCTGGGCCATGATGTCCTTGCCGTACTGTGCTAGAGCCTGGAGATGTCGCTTCTGCTGCGTCGTGTAGGCCTTCTGCATGTCCTTCTCGTACTGCTGCCGTTGGGTGATCGTCAGGCCATTGTCCGCGCGCGGCATGCTTTGCCAACTTCTGCTCTCATTTGCGTTGCAAATCCTGCACCAGAGATTCGCCCTCCGCTTTGGCCCCTATTGAGCCACTCACGGGTTTGTTTGGTCGCGGCAGGTCGGTCTCGAGTAGTGTGCCAGGAAGGCCTTTTTGTGTTCTGAGCCTCGAAATCCAGTGGAGGACATGACAGTGCACCATTGGGATCGGTTAACGCGGTTGCTGGGAAGGGGATCCACAGGAAGGAAGGCAGAGGTTCTGTGGGAACCTCTGACCGCTTTGGCCATGGCCAAGGTAGATCTTGTCGAACTGACTTTGTGGAATATCAAAGAGGCACGTATATGCAAGAGGCATTTTTCGGTCTGCTCATGATGTGTTACGTTGTGGTCGCCAGCAACTTTGAGTTGGCCTGAAAGCCAGATTCAGCCTCGTAGGGCTTTCAAGAAAGAAGTCTAATTGCTTGCCCAAGGCTACTGAAGGCCACCTAACCTTTCCAGCAAGGCAATCCAAATGGCAGGCAGAAGAGTCTGCGAAAAGCATCTGGTGTTAGCCGTTTGGGGTTCACACGAGAGTCGCAAGTATGCATGAAGCATCACGAAGCCATCTTTCTGAAAGCGAAGCTCAACTGAATCTACGAGGGCTGACTCGGCTGATGAGCGCGACGCATTGCTTCTGAGCGCAACGACGTGCAAAGCGAACCCGACGCGCCACGTGTTCCGTCCAGCCAGGATGCCCGCGACAGATTCGGCCAACGCCTTGGTAATAAGGTGCTTGTGCGCTCACGGGTGTAGGCTCAGGGTGCTGCACTGAGGAAACACCGCCCTGATGCTCGCTGCGCGACATGGCCAGGCTGACTCGCTAGCCACACTGTTGGATGCTGGCGCTGAGAAGGCCAGAAGCCAGGGCACTGAACGCGTCAGAGCCTGCCTTCATGTCTAATGATGTGAGCTGATGGTCGGACATCGTACATCACATGTTCGCTCAACGGAACGACCAAGTGCGGTCGTGTCTCTGACGTCGCCAGGAGGCAAAGAATGAGCACGGTCAGGGCCGTGGTGGTTGAGTGAATTGAATAGCCATGTCATGATGCTGGTTCCGTGTTGCACTGTAACGCATCTGTGCCATGATAAATGTGCCCGCCAGATATCCCGAATGATAGCGGTAGCAGTTCCTCTGTGGTCTACGAGCGTGCAAGGCATGTGGTTTGTTCCCCTTCTCAGATCGTCTCCGTGGCTGTCAAAGGCATGCTCATAAGCGCCACGGTCCTGCCAACATGGTGTTCCCATTCACTCACACTGTGTTCCCAAGCAGCTGGTACCACCGTGTGTCAATTCTTGATTCTGAGGCTACGCGGCTGTCATGCAGGCCGCCGGCAATGGTCACAACAAGTGCGTGAAGCTCTTGCACAGCAAGGTGGGCATCTGCCAACTCTGCAGCAGCTCTCGCCATTGGCGCATGTGTGACAGGTTACGATCAATCGGGAGGGCAAGGGCCCCGGCGCCTCAAGGCTCGAGCGCAAATCCTAAAGTGTCGTCGATCTGGTCTACATATGCTAAGGTGATGGGCATCTGCTCCAAGCTGCTGAGGATGGCGATGCAGAACTCCTCATTGAGCTCCTGGCCGCAGGTGCGAACAAGGTGGGAAAGCAGAAGCCTGTCAGACATGTAGAGTCATAGCCTCATGCAGATAAGATTCTCTTTCCATTTTCCGCTGAGGGTCCAGGCAGCCAGGCAAGACGACGGTGGATGATTTGTATGCCTGAACGAAGAAAGTGTAACTTGAATCCTGTGGAGGCGAACCTGTGTTTCCTGAGGCCTTTTTAATTGCAAGTTCTGAGGCTGGGGATTGCACGGTCTTGTGATGCCCCTCCGCAGGAGAGGTTTGAGGATGGGATTGCATGGACCGTTAGGGGGCTGAGGCTGGGTTGCGGGGGGTTTGATTTGACGGGGTGTAGACAAGGCACAGAGAAGCTGAAGACTCGAGGCTCTTTGGGTGTTTCGTGACGGCCGAGGGTTGGCTTTTCGAGCTTACCAGGCCTTACTCCCGATCAATCATAGACCTCCGGCCTGAGCCACGCTCTTTTTCGTGGGGTGATCCCTCGTCGATGCGCTGGGGGGCCGCCAGCCGGTGTTGTAAAGGGTTTGCGCCTTGCGCTTGGAGGAGAGACACTGAGCCGGAAAGAAAGCGGCTTGTGTGTGAGGAGAAAATCGGTTGAAGGTCGGGCATGTGCACAATTCGTTCGTGCTCATGGCCGGGGTGCTCTCGTCATGTCTCGTCCTTCAGCAGCTTTCAATGCAAAGCTGCAACAGAGCAGCATCCCTGCGCAGGAGGCCAAGGACAAAGACGGCCACAGCCTCGGGTGGCTTTGACGATTCGGCGCAGCAGCCTTCGCCTCACAGCGAGACGGCAGTCAAAGCCAAAGCCCCCATCGGAGTCGTTCAACTGAAGTGGCTACCCACTGGCATGAAGGAGTATATACTGAAAGGATTGGAGAAGGAGCCCATCGATGTCCACAGTATTGTCATCAGTGTGGGCCTGTGTGTAGTTTTCGTTGACTACTGTGGTTTTGCACAGTTCTTTTCTTGTTGTCGTGTTTTTTGTACTGGGAAAATTCGTTTATTTCTAAGGTTTTTCTTGCTAGCACGTGTTCTGTTGATTCTGATGTTGTTTCGTATGTGGTGATCACACTCAGTGGTGCGCGGACCTGATTTTTTCTGTTGCTCTTGCGATTGTTATTGCAATGGTGTGTGTTATGCGTGGTGTTCTGCCGATTCTGTACCTTCGGCTGCTGTCATGTGCTGCGCTTAGTCTGGGTACTGCGTCGTCGAGTGCTATCACGATGGTGCGTGTTACGTCCGTGGTTGATGTTTTGCAAACTCTCGAGTAGTCTACGACGGGGTAGGAAGGGATATAGCCGGTGCAGACCAGGAACCCTCGCCCGGGTCGCAGCAGTTCGTTCGTTCAGGTACCACAGCAAGCATTTCAGGAGTTGGGAGCAAGCTGTATGCACCGCTGCTTCTGTGTGTCAGGTCGCAACATGTGTCGGGTCGCAGCAGTTGGTTTGATCGGGTACCGCAGTTGCTTGTTTTGCAGTTTCGGTGCGAGGCTTCGGACTTGGAGGCTGCGCAAGCTTGAAGGTTTTGATTGTGTACTCCGGATATTTGCATTGTGAGCAGAGCGTTCCCGAAGGAGTGGCTGTGGTGAGCGAGCCGGGCAGACAAAGGCATGCAAACAAGAGCAAAACCCACCCCAACAACTGAACCCGTTAGGGCGTTCATGGGAGAGTAGGGTTTGGAGTGTCGACTGCGAGTATCAACGGTGGCAATGTCACATGCAGAGCACCACAGGACTGAGCACATAAGCAGCATGCGCGACCCAGCTTTAACCCCAGCAGCAGCAACAACAAGGACAACCACAATGGCACCAACCTTTGTTTGGTGGATGAAGCTTCAACCCTGTTCTTGTGGTTGACTACTGAAGCAGTAGCATCTTGTGGAAGTCGTTGCGTACTGCTACTATTTACGAGGGGAGGGTTTAACTCACATTTTGTTGAGGAAATACACATCTTTCAGCGTCCAGGGTTCAGCAATCGGGGCCCGGCCTGGTGTGCGCTTGCCACGTAAGCCACACCCCCACTGACTGGCACCACCAACTCTCTGTAGTCCCCCTTCAGATTAAAGCGTTTGGGCTAGTAGAGGTGGTAAAGGCTTGGAGGGAAGAAGTGAGGGAAGCAGGAGAACGCGCCACTAGTCACATTGCGATTTCCCAAACCTCAAATTCTTAACCGTACACCTTTAGCCCTGAAGCCTCAAGCCCTGAATGTTGAAAACCACTCTTGAAACCCTCCGTGCTCCTGCTTCTGAAGGGCGCGTGTCAACGGGGATTCCCATGTTTTTCGCATGTTATGATGTTGGAAAAGTTTGCAGTTTGCCAGCACGTGGGCCTGATTTCAGCTGTTCTGAGGCTTCGCCTGAGCAGGCTTGCAACACTGCGTGGCCTTGGGGATTCCCTAGACAAACAGCTTCTGGGCCCCTGCCGCGACTTCACTTTATGCAGTGTGGCCATGCAGTGCCGGGACTTGTAGAACGCTGCCGCGACATAAGTCTAGCGCCTGTAGCGGTGCGAGTCTGAGGCCGGACCCCCCTGATGGTCGCTGCCGAGAAGTGCCAGACGGAGATCGTCAACGAGCTGCTGGCACAGGGCGCAGAGAAGGCGGGAGGGCGGATGTCGGCATGGTTGGGTTCTCCAATGCTAGACTTGTAGTCAAGACTGTTCTCACCACTGCAATCTTCGGGATGCAGCCTTGATCTGTTGCCCCACAGCCGACGACAGTGGCTGTTTTCGTAACGTCGGGAGCTTCTGCGAGCGGTCTCCGTTTGACCGCTTTAAGGCGAAGTTTCCCCGGTTGCCTCATGGAGTGGATATGTTGAAGTCTGAGATATTACGTACCGCATACTGCACGTCAACCTCCGCGGGTTAGGTGTACCTGTCAAGTGGAGCATGTGGGATGCTGCTTCCTCGTTCAAGAGTCTCTAGGAGGAACCCCGCAAAAGGGAATCCTGTCGCGCACGTTGGATACTCCCCAGTCACCCCTCGTCTGAGAAGGTCTGAGGCCGGGGTCGTATGCTTTGTCATGCCGTTCAATTTGGACTTGCGGTGTGGGTGTTTTTTCGTGTGAAAGAGCGGCCCCCAGATTCGTAGAGTAGACCTCCGGCCTCGGCCCTCGCTCTTTTCGTGGGGCGACCCCCCGTCGATGTGCACCTGATGTTGTTTGAGTCTTTTATCTTGAAGCGGAGATGCTAGGCCGGAGAAGAAATCAACACCCACGTTCTTGCTTAATGGCTGAGGAGAAAGACTTTAGGTCTAGGCCTCCAAACCAATCATTTCAAGGTCGGGCATGTGCCACACACTTCGTCTGTGCTGAGGGCCTGAGTAGTCTCGTCCTTCAGCAGCTTTCAATGCAAAGCTGCAACAGAGCAGCATCCCTGCGCAGGAGGCCAAGGACAAAGACGGCCACAGCCTCGGGTGGCTTTGACGATTCGGCGCAGCAGCCTTCGCCTCACAGCGAGACGGCAGTCAAAGCCAAAGCCCCCATCGGAGTCGTTCAACTGAAGTGGCTACCCACTGGCATGAAGGAGTATATACTGAAAGGATTGGAGAAGGAGCCCATCGATGTCCACAGTATTGTCATCAGTGTGGGCCTGTGTGTAGTTTTCGTTGACTACTGTAGCCTGTCTACAATCACCAGGAGTGGCCTTTAAGGGTTGAGGGTCTGGGGCTGAGGGGGTTCAGGGTAATCCCTACGGGTTCAGTTGCGGGGGTGGTTTTGCACAGTTCCTTTCTTGGTGTTGTGTTTTTATGTACTGAAAAAAGCGTTTATTGATCACTTCTTTTGCTAGCACGTGTTCTCTTGATTCTGAAGTTGTTTCGTATGTGATCACACTCTGAGTTTTGCTGCTGCTCTGGCGATTGCTATTTCGATGGTGCGTGTTATGTGCGTGTTGTCCTGCTGATTCTGTACCTACTGCTGCTGTCATGTGCGGGTCGCAACATGTGTCGGGTAGCAACAGTTCGTTTGTTCGGGTGCCACAGTTGCTTTTTTGCAGTTTCGGATTCGAGGCTTCAGACTTAGAGACTTAGAGGCTACTCCAGATGTTGTTTTTGTGAAGCAGAACGTAATTACCCTCCCCCCTCCCCACCCCAGCCCCCCCACCCTTCTGTACTCGAGATGGTGTTTGGTGAAACAGAAGTGAGTCAAAATTCCCACTCCCCAACCCCCCCCCTCGAAAGAGCAAGCAGACAGCATCACCGACTTCGGCAATGAAGTAAGAATCGCCAAACGCCGACACCCGAAAGCACGTAAACAGCGCAAAATGCCCAAGGCTCAAGATAGCCAAAAAGGTGGTTTCACGAAGTATGGTATTCACCACGGAGGCCGTGAGCTTTGAACTTACGACGAAGTCGCAACGAAAAAACTACGACAAAATAAAACGTCAGATTCCGTTCAAAGAACCAACAGAGCGCAAAACAGATGGGTTTGAGGAAAGCCATCAAACAGTGATTGTGGTGAGCGAGACGGGCATGCAGTTAGGGGGTTCACGAGAGAGTAGGGTGTGGAGTGTCGGCTGCGAAGAACAACGGTGGCAATGTCACAGGCAGAGCACCACAGGACTGAGCACATAATTAAGCAGCATGCGCGACGTCAGCTTTAACCCCAGCAGCAGCAACGACAAGGACAACCACAATAGCACCAACCTCCGTTTGGTGGATGAAGCTTCAACCCTGTTCTTGTAGCGGTGCGAGTATGAGGCCGGACCCCCCTCATGGTCGCCGCCGAGCAGGGCCACAAAGAGATCGTCAATGAGCTGCTGGCACAGGGTGCGGAGAAGGTCGGAGGGAGGATGCCGGCGTGGTTTGAGTTTTTGTGTTTTGTTGGTAGTCAAGACTGTACTTTATTTAGCGAAAGGCCTGAACCAAGAAACTGCAACTTGAAAGCCTCAGGAGGCAAGAGCGGGGGATATTCTTGAGGCCTTTCTGAAGACTGTCTGAGAGGTCTGAGCTTCGTTTCTAGTTTGGAATTCTATAGAATCCTTGTGCCATAGCTATTTTCATTCTAAGTTCATACTTTTCGGGTGCAGCACTTAAGGGTTGTGCAACTTCTGAGGCTTTTGTCGACGATGCCGATGCTTTCAACATGTGGGCCTTTCAGGCTCGACAGCTGGGGCGCCCCTTTTAGAGGACTAGCTTCGTAAAGCTGTAGCCAGAGCCACGGATCGAGCCCGGCGCTCGTGCAAAAGGAGACAGGGCGCAGAGCCCTTTGCTTGCTGTTGTGACTGATCATTCAAGCTTTCTGCGAGAGCCCAATTCCTACCATTGCAGCAACCCGCTGCATTGGTAGCGGAGCAGTGCTCGCTCCAGGGAACTGCCTGTGGTCGGAACTGCACGCTGCATCTCTTTTCTCTTTTACTGGCAAGTGATCCACCTCCTGGCGATTACGGTTTCAACCTGATCACTGCCGACCTGTCAGCGCGACAGTTTTTCCTATATCCAGTTTTCGGTGGCCATCATGGCCGATGCTCATGACAAGTCGTTGGTCCCAGCCTGGGACGGCCAAGCCCGCACTTGGCGGAAGTATACGAGAGAAGTGAGTTGGTTCATGCAGAGCACGCCTGTACACAAGAGACGCTACTGTGCAAGCAGGCTGCTTACCAGGTTGAGTGGACCAGCTCGTCTTCTGGCTATGAGCTGGGCAAAGATGGAGTTCGACACTCCGTCTGGGACCAAGCTGCTGCTTCAGCGATTGGCGAGCTCCCCTCTTGTTCGACGATCGCTTCCTAACGCAGCTGCCATATGCCAGCAGTACTTCAGCTTCCGTCGCCAACCGGGCGAGTCGATTGGGAATTTTCTTGTACGAGAGACGCTGGTGCATGAGGAGTTTGTGGAAGCGATCATACGCTTGCACGAGGAGAAGCTTGGAGTTTCGCAAGCTGACAGGGACTTCGGTCTTCCCGAAGAGGAGACTGACTGGCGTGATGACCCAGATTGGAACTCCTGGTATGGTGGTGGCGGCTGGGGCGACGAGGACTACGAGGAGCCGGACCCTGCACCTCCTGCTCCTGACGGCGATTCTCCCCCAGATGATAGTGCTCCCAGAACTCCAGCGGAACGACGTGAAGATGCACCTACGGATGCCACACCGGCAAGAGGAGCTACAGGTTCGTCACCCAGCCACCGACAGGCTGATGCTGGATCTGTGGCAGGCTCCCGCAAGGGCGAGATTCCGCCTGCTGCGAAGACTCCCTTGGATGAGATGTCAGTGGCAGATTCCTTCATCATGGACGTTCTGCGCGGATGGAGGCTGTTGCAAGCAGCCGGGTTGAGCGCAGAAGAGAAACGAGATATCCTGAGTTCTACTAAGAACTCCTTGGACCACTCAGTGATTTCCTCAGCGTTGCAGAGTCTCTGGGATGATCAACTTCTAGGAGGACTGCGTGGAGGATCTGCTGGCCACTACAACGCCCATTTCATGGACTCCGGGGACGAGCACTACGCTAACTACCAGCAGGAGTCGGACGATTGGTGGTACGAGGACGACGCGTGGTGGCAGGATGATACCTACGCGGACTATGCTGTGGATCAATGGCGCGACTCTTGGCGAGATGATGAATGGTACTACGAAGGGCAACAGGCGACTGTGCCTGAGCCCGAAGATCCTGAAGCGATGGCCAAACTTCAGGAGGCGCAAAATGCTGAGCGTGTGGCTGAGTCGCTTGCTGCCGAAGCGACTCGAACATGGACTGAAGCCCAGCGAGCCACGCAAGCTCTTCGTCGAGACCGCGGCTTTGGATCTCCGGCCAACAATCTTGGTGGCGGTAAGTGCTTTCTGTGCGGAGGCAATCACTTTGCCCGTGAATGCCCCGATCGGCAGCATCCTGGAGGTAAAGGACGTGGCAAGGGCTACTTCCGGAACTTTGCTGCGGATATGGACGACTTCTACTCCTACTACTTCTCGAAGGGCAAGGGCAAGGGGAAGTTCAAGGGCAAGAAGGGCATGATGCATGAAGCTCAAGCCTGGCTTAAGGGCAAATCCAAGGGCAAGTCCAAGGGCCATGGCAAGGATGGCCCAGGACATCGCAGTGTGAATGCTTATGCCTCGGACATGTTCATTGGTGGCCTTGAGGTTGCCGATGTGATGGAGGCGGCCACGGCGAGTGTGAGCACTTCTTCTCCCAGTGTAGGTATGCTTGATTGCGGTGCGACTGCTTCAGCTGCTCCAGAAGCCATAGTTCGCAGCTTGATTTCGGCCGTTCTCACACAGGACAAGGGAGCCAAGATCGAACTCGAGCAGTCCGCGCGACCGTATTTCAGGTTTGGGAATGGGCGTTGGGGCCGGGCTTTGTGTCGAGTGCATTTATCTAGCCAAGTTTCTGGGCAACATCAACATTTCTCGTTGTATGCACTCCCCAACCCCGAAGCCTACTACAACAACAGCCTGGATAAGACGTCGCTTGTACCAGTCCTTATCGGCATGGACTACCTGGGACCTCAAGGAGTTGGCATGATGATAGATTTCGCTACAGGCCTCGCAATGAACACCAAGGACCCCAAACCCGAGGTGTACCAGCTTCACACCAATCACAAAGGTCATCTTGTCCTGGACATCGTTGAACACCTCACCAAGGGCTACACCAACCATGAAGGTCAGGCTCATGTTGTTGTTCGTGCTCTATCCCCTGCCAGTAGCTGTCCTGTACACGATCATCAAGTGCTTGAGCTAGGGACACTTTGGCTGGACATGACTGTTCGCGATGCTGAGTTTGATGAGCAAGAGCTGCAGTTGGCACGTGCTAGGATGTGGCAGCTTTTCGAAGCCTCTCGAACGACGTCCACCACCTCAGCTTCTCAAGCTCAAATGTCTGGCGCCTTCGGTGCCATAGATTCTTCGACAACAACTTCTTCGCGCAGCAATGGCGGCTTCCTCTCAGGAGACCCGCGACCTCGACCCGGAGACCGAGCAGCTCTTGATCCAGTCCTACAAGGCCAAAGCGGCAAAGGCGAAGCCCAAAGCTCGGGCCCGCTCTTTCGACACCACCCGTCGCATGAAGGCAGACCCTCGGGATCCACGAATGTCACCGGAACAATGGCCATGCTACAACCGACATGTACCCGCGGCTCCGGAAGCGAATGCACACGGCCAGTGGATCACGTGCAGCGTCTGCAACGTGAGACTCCTTTACACACCGAGGAAGGGATCACCGGCTTCCTCGACGGCGGTGCTCAACGCGCCAATGGTGTCTCAGATGCTGAAGGAACTTCGCCAGCACCTGGGCAATGTCAAGCCAACCGCGAAGGTCTGCTTGCACATGATGAACAAGATCACGGCGGAGACGGTTCTGGAGAAAGCGATTCGGGAGTTGATCGACAACCCGACCTCTACCAGGACAGCACCCTCGTCACCGAGCACGGCGTGGGGCATGGTGGACGACGAGGAGTTGGTGGCGGCCTACGAGAACGAGAAGACGGGCGAGTGAAACCTGGTCAGAAGGGCAAGGTGTACACGCCACATGTGCCTTTGTACATTGGCAAGAAGATCATGGCTATGGCGACACTGTTCAATGCGATGACAACGACCCTGTTGTTGAATCTTCATCAACATGAGCGTGACGGTGTGTGGGAGATTGCCTGTGCTCCTCACAGCTGGCTATCCGAGGCTTCTGAAGAGCACGGCATCAAGGCTCGTCGCATCAATTTGGCCAATGGCTTTGACCTGTACCAGCCCTCCACTTGGGATCGCCTACGTGAACTACGTCGTCTCCACCAACCTCGGCGTCTTTGGTTTTCCTTGCCGTGCACAAAGTGGTGTGCGTGGACCTCCGTGAACTACAACACTCCCGAGAAGAAGACCAATCTGGAGACGGCGCGTCGCCGTGAACGGAGGCTGCTGTGGCATTCCAATGCTTTCATCAAGGAGGCTCTGAGTGATGACCCTTCGGTTCAGGTGTACTTTGAGTGGCCCCATCCTTGTTTCGGGTGGCGTCAAATGCCAATGGAGGACCTGGACAAGCACCTTCAATCGATGGAGATTCCGTGGCTTTCGTGTCGTGTTGATGGCTGCAACTACGGCATGAAAGATCGTGCAGGTGTTCAATTCATTCAGAAGAAATGGATGATCAAGACCACGGATGAGCAATTTCACCGCGTGTTCAGAGCTAAAGTATGCCCTGGCAATCATGGTGTCCATGGTCACATTGAGGGCGGCGAAACCGCGGTGTCCGCCTACTACCCCTGGCGGTTGGTACAATCCATTGCACGACACTGGAGAGATCAAGCAGCTCCTGCTCGACATCTTCGTCTTCTTGCTCTACGTCAAGACCAACCGTGGTTTGATGCAGACGATGATCCACAACCTGCTGGGGACGATCCCATTGGCGAGGAGTATGTGGAGGACTACGGTTTGACAGAAGGGGATCTGGAAGGATTAACCTCGTCTTCAGGTGATCAGTGTGTCTCAGCAGGGGATCTGGAAGGATTAACATCGTCTTCAGGTGATCAGTGTGTCTCAGCAGGGGTGACATCGTCTAGTACGCTGTTGGATCTGGTCAACAAATACACCATCCAGGGTGACTTTTCGTATGATGCTTTGGAATCCGTCCTCATGTGTGCCTCTGAGAACGTCAAGGATATGACAACTCCCCATGCTCGTTGGCAGGCTGTGCGTCGTAAAGGATTTGTGCTTGGTGCCTACTCCCATGGAAGCTTTGGTGGCATCAGCAACAAGACTGCTGCTCTGGAACCTTTGGTGCAGTACTTGAATGCCTTTCTCAGACGACAGCTACCACAATCTACCTGGTCGAGTTTGATGGTGTCGTTCAACTGTCCGGCAATGCCC